TGGATTTTGATAGCTAGTTTTACTGATATATTGCTGGTTCAAGTTTGGGTTTTAAGTTGATCTTCCTCCGTTATTCCTGGGCTATTTTGCTGATGAAATATTGTCCCTGCTACTGCTGTTGCTAAACCTGCTGTCTCATCCTTCTTTGTTTCTTTCTTCTTCCAGGTACAAATTTCTGATTCCTTCATGATGTAAAGCTTGATTTAAGGATGAAATGGAAGCCCTATTTTACTTTAGTTCTTTTTTTCCTTGACTGATGTTCATGTTTCTTCATTTACTCATAGTATAGTCTTAGTTGAATTCCATTTAAGTACTCAAATTTTTATGCTGTAATTAATCGTGGACTGTGGAAACTGTGATGTGTTTGGATTTCGTTGGTTGTTTAGTTTTAGTGTTATAAGTCAAATTTGCAATCCATGTTATCTGAATGTAAAAACAATTTGGGAATAGTTAGATTCTATTACTGTTTAGTATGTGTAAGATTGATATTTATGTAGTAGGTTGGTTAGACTACAGTAATTGAGCTACGTTGTTCATGAAGTATGGAAATCCTCAGTAGTTTGATCTATAATGGTGTTGATTCTTGTTGAGTGTCTTCACGGTTCTGTGGTCATGTTTTTAAATATTAGTTCCAAGTTCAAATTTGGAATATTGTGAGAGCATGAAAAATGATTATAGGATTAACATGTTTATTGGTATAAGTATATATTATGGGCTGGTTTCGAGCCCAATATGCTGGAACCCCTGATTCATTATCGGAGTTGATGATTTTTTTTAAAAATTGAATTATAGGCTTTGGGCCCTTCAAGTTAAGTGGCAGACTTGAACTAAGGTTTTCTTCAACAATGGAGATCGTCCTTGTTTGAGTTTGGACTTGATCTTGGGGCCTAAACTTTCTTGAATACTTGAGTGTTAGTTAATTCACAATATTAATAAGTTAAGTTTTTTTTTAGAATAGAGACAAACCTTAATAGATAACAATAGTGCATCTTTAAGGACATCCTTTTAAAAATAAATTGAGGTGCACCGCGCCAAACAAATTCATGAATTGTGTGGCCCTCTTTAATTATACCTTTAAAATCTATAGAACACGGGGCGTGCCATTTAGCAAATTTTCATGGCCCTCACAAAGTTAACAACGCGTTAGTTGCTTTTAGGCGTGCTATTTAATAATTTTACCTTCTTAAACTCGAGTGTGCATTTCATGTGACCCAAATCCAAATCCCAAAACATTGAATAAGACGTGTTCCGGATTGCGGGTGCATTTCATGTGACGCGATTCAAAGACACGTTTTAAACGACGTTCAACATTCTTTTAAAATTGAATAAAAGCGGTTAAAAACTAAAATTTGCACATAGGTTCAAAATGTATTAAAATCAGATAATTCAGCCAAATATGACAGTTGAGCGACCGTGCTAGAACCACGGAACTCGGGAATGCCTAACACCTTCTCCCGAGTTAACAGAATTCCTTACCCGGATTTCTGGTTCGCGGACTGTACTACAGAGTCAATCTTTTCCTCGATTCGGGATTTGAACCGGTGACTTGGGACACCATAAATCTCCCAAGTGGCGACTCTGGATCCTTTAATAATATAATCCCGTTTCGATTGTCCTTTAATTAGAAAAACTTTCTTTTATACCCCTTTCCGGGGGTATAGTAGAAAAAAGGAGGTGTAACAGAAGCCAAGTTGTACAATACAATCAACAATTCATGTTATTGTTAATGACTAATGAGCTGTTGGAGAAGGCATTTAATACATCTACTCTAATTTTTAGAATTATCGAAAAGTGTAGATGAGTGAAGTAAATAGTCATAATCATCAATTACATCCTTAATAAGTGACTTGTCTCCTCGAAAGGAGAAGTGTCGGGCCCTTAGAGTTAAGATTAATGTTTTCAGCTTGACATAGTCCTTCGTTTCATTAAGGGCCGCACGATATGTTCATCCTATTTTTGTTTGGTCTTTCAGTAATTACTTTTTAATACGGTGTGATATCCGTTTTGGGTCAAATTCGAAAAGTTTTTTCTAAAAGATCCCACACCATTATAAGATCCCTACATATTATATGTAGGTTCTTAATCAACCAATGTGAAACTTTGTTCGCACATCCAACAAAATCATTTTTAATATATTTAGATAAATTAAAAGATTTCTTTAATTTCCTCGTATATTTGAACTGCCAACTAACTCTTTTTGACTGTTAGTCATCAAAAATAAATGACGACTAAAAGATAAAAGCATTAATTCAACTCTCAATAATGATAATTTCTCATCAATCTAGTGCAAGTTTGTTGTCATCAATCTTTGTGGCGTGACTTATAAGTCTTATAACCTAGTGGACTAATGGGATTTTGAGTCTAGAAAATGACGAAATCCCGTAGTGCAATTTTATTATATTGTTAATTATTCTAAATGAGCACTACTTGCTTTGCATTTCTTCCGACAAAAGGAAGAACTTTATTTAAAATATATCTAAAATATAATGGGGATTAGGGTCGGAGATATTATTACCAATAAAGTAATAAGGAAAATACTATACTATATTCACTGCAAAACGCGGGGAAGGGAAGACAAAACTGCTTCCCCACTCACTCTTAACTTCATTATTATAGTATATTATGAGTTTATATTTTCTATTTGAGTTTTGGATAACACCTATACATTAATTAGTGAACCAAATGGAAGTTCATGAATGCTATATACCTTCTTGTATTATACAGAAAGAAAAAAACAGTAGACTTCTTGTTATTCTACTACTTCTATAATATATATATATATATATATATATATATATATATATATATGTTTTCATTCTTAAAGAAAATTAATAATAACAACACTCAAGAAATTAATTGATGTAAGTTGTGTTAGATTCTTAATCTTACTGAAAATTTCTTGCTATTATCATCTCCTACCTTGTGAGAGAGAGAAAATTAAGATAAAGTATTAGTAGAAGATGTAGTGTAGCTTAACCAATATAATATGGGATTTTCTCGTCATTTGACAGAAACTACTTCAACAAGAAGTACCATTTTTCTCCAAGTAGGCAATCTTTAAACATAGTATTTAACATGCACTAGGAAGCAAGAATAATCCCAATTGGGCATAATACTACTACTACTATATTCCCTGCAAAACGTGGGGAAGGGATGACAAAACTGCTTCTCCACTCACTCTTATTTAGTCCTTGAAAAATTATCAGAGGATTCTCATAGTAGTCATAATTATGCATCAAATGCCTAGAATTTTTTTACTTCATTATGTTATCCTGTATGACAGTATAAGTTTCTGTTTTTCTATATATTTAAGTCCATTCGAAACTTGTAGTACACAAATAAAAAGGAAGAGAGCTCTTGTTAGTCCAGTATCTTACATTTTTTTCATTCTTATAGATAATACTAATGATTGAGAAATAATTGATATAGATTGTGTTAGATTTTTCATGTTAATTAATGAAATTTCTTTCAGTTTTCATGTAACCTGCAGCCTAAGTTTCACGCTATGGAGGACTAATTTCTTGTCATTAAGCACAAACTACTCCAACAAGAATTATCTTATTTCACCTAAAAGTAGTCAATCTTGTAACATATTTCTCACTAAGTAGGCCATCTTTAAACATATCCAGCATGCACTAGGAAAAAAAAAAAAGAATATAAGTCCCATTTGTATATAAAATATTACAGTATTTAAATACTTGCAATTACTTACTTTATCATTTGTTATTTGTCATCATGAGTATTTGCAAATTCTGAATTTAATATATGAACTTAAGCAAAATATTGGAATACTAGCACCCAAAAGTGTGACTTAGTGATCAATGATTTAATAAAATGGATTGAAAACTTGAGGACTCAGGTTCAAATCCCAACAAAGATAAAAATACTAGGTGATTTCTTCAGCAAATTAAGCCAAAATTTGTGGTTATCAAAAAAAAATATATATTGGAATTGTGGTTTAAAAGTGTAATCCAAATGAAATAATGATTTTAAAAACTAATTTCAAAAATAGAAATTACACAAGAAGATAAATGATACTCTTTCAAAATTATGGTAAAGAGGTTATTTAACTCCAGAAATACTTCCTCCGTTCACTTTTACTTGTCCACTTTGGACTTTTCACGCCACTTAAAAAATAATAAATATAGTATGTATTTTACCATACAACCTCTAATAATGATAACCTTTCAAAAAGTCTTGGGAAATAAGTTTGAAAATGAGTAATTAAGTAAAATAGGAAAAAAAGATTGTTTTTCTCTTGATTTAGTACAGTAGACAAGTAAAAGTGAAAATGTATTTTTAGTATAGTGGATAAGTAAATGTGAACGGAGGGAGTAACATTTAGGCCTCGTTTGGCCATGAGTTTTACCAAAATAAATTTGGGATTTATTTTCAAAACTCATGTCTGGCCATAAATTTTGCCAACATTTTGGCCATAATCCCAAACCCCAAAATCAGCTATTGAGCTGATTTTAGGCCAAAATCCCAAAACTTGGGAATTATACATATGTTTTTCCAAAATAAAGTTGGAAAATATGTTTTGAAAATGTATGTCCAAACACATTTTCATCTTCAAACCAAACTTCACCCAAATCAAATTTTTCAAAATAAATTTGGGATCTATGGCCAAACGCTAGCTTAAATTCAATAAAAGATAAGATATTAATAATAAAAATAGTAAGTAAGTAGTACTTATCATTTATGAATTCTACTACCAAATTAAGACAACAATAAATTGTGCAACACATAATGCGTAACATGTCTTTCATCCTTACATTTGTCAGGTGTTTTAGTGGATTTAGGAGCCAAACTCGGAGACAAAGTGCAACCTTGCTGTTCAACCTTTAGTTGACAACTTGACAATTGACATCCAATGAGAATAATACATAAAACAAAATTAAATTAAAAATAAAGAATATTTAAAAAAAAAAAGTAAAAGAACAAGAGAGATATTAATGTTTTTTTAAAATCTAAATACACAAAAAGAAAAAAGTAAAAAGCTCTAACAAAATAAAAAAACCAGTCCTTGATTTGTTCTGCTCTTTTTGCTATTCCATCAACCTAACAACTTCTGTTTCAAAGTACTCCATTTACACCAAATTCCTGAAAAGCTGAAAAAAAAGAAAAAAGACAATCCAGTTCAGCAAATCAATCTAAGAAACAAAGACAAAAAAGTAAAAACATATTGTTGTTTTTCATGTTAAAATTTGCAGACCCACTCATTTTTCTTTTCAATCCAACAGCTTCCTATCAATTTGCCATATTAGAAACCAAAGAAAATCCTGACCCTTTTCTGCAAATGTACCAAAAACACAATATAGCAACAAAGATTGGATTTTTTATCTGATTTTGGATAATTCAAAATGATTGTTGATATTGTGAAGCTCATATTGGTGATTCAAATGAAGATTGATTTAGGCTGAGGAAGGGGCTAAAAAAGAAAAAGGTGATTTTGTGGAGGGGAGAAAAGGAAGGGAAACAAAAGAAAAGGGAATATAGGTGAGAGATGAGCAAAGAATTTAGTGGCATTGTGAAGGCCTGGGAGTTCACAGTAAAGAAATCACAAGCAGTTGCCAAGAAAAGAGCTAAAAATACAATCTTTGCAACAATGTCAGTAGCACATGTTGATGATGAGCTTGATACCCCTGGTGAGGTTTATTATGCAGAAAAAATCTTGAATAATGGTGATATATATACAGGTCAATGGACTGATAACTGCCCCAATGGACATGGGAAATATTTATGGTCAGATGGTTGTATGTATGTTGGTGATTGGGTTAAAGGAAAAACAATGGGAAAAGGAAAATTTAGTTGGCCTTCTGGTGCTACATATGAAGGCCAGTTCAAGAATGGATATATGGATGGTGAAGGAACATATACAGGTTGCTCAAATGATACATATAGAGGTTGTTGGGTAATCAATATGAAACATGGTAAAGGGACAAGGGATTATGTGAATGGAGATCACTATGAAGGAGAATGGCGACGCGGGCAGCCAGATGGACAAGGGAGGTATCAATGGAACAATGGGAATCAATATATAGGACAATGGAGAAATGGCAAGATGAATGGAAATGGTACAATGATTTGGGCTAATGGGAATAGGTATGATGGTTCTTGGGAAGATGGATTTCCTAAAGGAAATGGGACGTATCGATGGGGCGATGGGAGTTTTTATGTTGGTATTTGGAGTAAAGATTCTAGGGAGCAAAGTGGGACTTATTATCCATCAAGTTCAAGAACAGGTACTTTTGATTGGGATCCTCAGGATGTTTATTCAATTGATTTAGTAGAATGTCAGATTAGTCCGGGTGAAAGAATATCAGTTTATCCCTCACAAAAGATGGTAAGTTGGCCATGTGAAGGGGAATTTCTGCAGAAGTTGCCAATAGCAAAGACTCCAAGAGCAAATGATGCAAAGTCTAGGCGAAATTCTGTCGATGGCTACAGTTGGGGATCAGAAGCAGATACAAGTTCGAATAATGATAATGTCTATTCAGGGCAAGAAAGAGAGTCAAGTGAAGGATTTAGAAGCTTTACAGCTGATGATTTAGATAGTTCAAGAGGATTTCGACCGCATTGCATCAAAATTCAACCAACCAAGAAGCCAGGACAAACAATATCCAAAGGGCATAAGAACTATGAGCTTATGCTTAATTTGCAGCTGGGAATAAGGTATTTGTTTGAATGGATAACCACTGTTATTCTTGTCTTTTTCTTGTGGATTTTAATACCATCTTTGTTGTAGGAAAATTCTGCATTGACCTTGTCTTCAGTTTACTGTTTTCTTGTTAGCATCTATATGGAGTAGTACTATAAGGAAGGACCTTAATCCTCAGTGACCTTAAGAAAAGAAATTTGGTATATATACTTTCTCATTAAATAAAGACATCAATGTTGTGAAAAAAAACTTAAGGCTTTTGTCTTTCAAAAATGGTACTTTAAAATTTCGCCACTAACTATTGAGTCCAATTTAGCTTTCATAACTCACTAGAGCTTTTCTTTCAATATGTTGCTATACAAGCAAATCCTTTAAACATGGTAATTTAATTGGACAAGTGGCTTTTGAAATGACTCTTGTTACAATGTTTTGCATGTCAATAGTTGAGTAAATGCTGCTAGCTTTCTGGCAGAAGAAGTTCAATAGTGATTGAATGATTGTTATATTTTTGACACAAAGAAAGCGGAGACACTTTTCCCCCTCTTTTTGTATTTAGTTGCAAGTCTAGTGGAGGTCGAAATAGAAGAACTTAATGTGTATTAGAAGCCCCCCAGGCTTGTTCGTTTATAGGGATCATAAGTTGGTTAAGTCCTAGTGATGGTATGGGACTATTACACACGAACATCTTTTTGGGATATTTACCTTATCTTTACTGGATGCACAAAAATAATTCAAATATCTAAGACGGACAACTTGCATTTTTCATGGCAGTGCTTTTAGATTTTATATCCTTTTCAATATCTTGATGCTTGTAGCTCATTTATGGTGCCATCTCAGACATTCTGTAGGAAGGCCTGCTCCAGCTACTTCACTTGATCTTAGAGCTACAGCTTTTGATACCAAGGAAAAGGTTTGGACAAAGTTCCCTCCAGAAGGATCCAAGCATACTCCTCCACACCAGTCGTCTGACTTCAAATGGAAGGATTACTGCCCGTTAGTTTTCAGGTTGATTTGATACGCTACACTATGAAATAAATAGACTATGTTGATTGCCCCTCTATGTATGTTAACTCAGAATACATAACATAGTACAAAGATTGCAGTTCCATGCATTGCATATATGCGCCTTAATTGAGACATCAAACTCATAGTTCTTTTATAAAATGAACTTCACTGCTGTTTCATAGAACAAAATATCATTGAGAATCTTTCAGCATTATAACATCAGTTGAGATAAGTCTAACAATAGCTATGTTTTCAGGACCCTAAGGAAACTGTTTAAGGTGGATCCAGCTGATTACATGATATCTCTATGTGGAAATGATGCACTTCGGGAGCTCTCATCCCCGGGAAAAAGTGGAAGCTTTTTTTACTTGACCAATGATGACAAGTACATGATAAAGACCTTAAAGAAGTCAGAAGTAAAAGTGAGTTAAATTTCTGCTTGTCGATTCTGAAAGTGAATTTAATCTGCAGTCTGAATCTTTTTCTCCGTCAGCTTTTTTCTGAATAGTTGTATAGATTTGATACAAATATGAAACCAAAAATTTCACAGCTTACCTATAATCAAAGACTTATGTACCTGGGACAACCTAAAGTTCACACCACCAGACGGTTGTCTCTGATGCATACTTTATTTTAATAAGTTCTTGATATTTCAAATAGTTTTGATTTAAGTTTGTATCAAAATATAAAACACCGTTCTTCTTTCCAGACAAAATATAAATTACCTGCTCAGTGTCATTTTGATATGCCTCTCCACTGATGCCTAGTTCTTAGTCATCAAATTTCTTTTCAGTATCTTTGTGAATTTTCTAAATATAGCTGTTATGAAAATTAAAGTCTAACACCAGGGATATTTGATGTCTTTCAAGTAATCAATCAAGTCAAAACACCTTTGTGAAACATCATGGATAATCATATCACAAATTTTCTCAGTTTACTTGAACATTTATACAATTTAATGTGGCTTTATTCACACAACTTCAGGTTCTTCTAGGAATGCTTCCAGCTTATTACAATCATGTCCGGGCATTTGAGAACACTCTAGTTACTAAATTTTTTGGCCTTCATTGTGTGAAGTTGAATGGACCTGCTCAGAAAAAGGTATATGAGACAAGTATATCAATGGTTTTCAATATAGTATTTGACAAGTTCATGCTTTTGTTTCATCGAGTTTGTCCTTAATAACAACTGTTGAGCAGGTTCGCTTTGTCATTATGGGGAACTTGTTCTGTACTGAGTATGCCATTCACAGACGTTTTGACTTGAAAGGTTCTTCCCATGGCCGTGTCACTGAGAAACCTGAATCTCAAATTGAGTCAACTACTACCCTCAAGGACCTGGATCTCAATTTTATATTCAGGCTGCAGAAAGTTTGGTTCCAAGAGTTCTGCAGGTGCCTTCTCTTTTCCCTTTCTCTTATTTGAAAAATTGGATAAAGAAATCCTTTTCAACGTTATAGCTATGCAAATGAAGAAAAGCATGGTTTTGCTACAATGGTGACAGAACATGCCATAATTCTTGCCAGTAGCAAGGAGATAAGCTGAGAAAACAAAAAGACCTGCACCATTAGCAGATGCTTTCTCTTCTGTTTTATGTCTGATTTGGCTGTTCCAATAAATAGGCGGCTTTTATGCAAAAGAGGCCTAAACTGTAGCTGCATGGTTTTCTCAAGTGCTTGTTTGTTGAAAATATTAGTATTACGCAAAATGTGCCTTGGAATTAAGAAAGTACCTAATCCCTTTGGTTTGACAACACTAAAGCATTTTCTAGCACTAAAAGGTTTAAAAGAGGATACAATAGGAGGTCTAAATTAGATTCAGTAAAAAGAAAAAAGAACCTAAAAAAGAAAGCCTGAAAAAGTGGCTTTTAAAACTTGTAAAAAGAAGAAGAATCATTGGAACTTTATGCTTGATATTCCAAAATTTAAAAACTTAGCATAGTGCAGCATAATTTCTAATTAGCTGCACAAGTACAAGGATTGTATCTTTGTATCAATATCCGTAGCTGTATACATGTAGCCTTTGCAGCCTAAGCCAGGGTCAAATGACACTCTTAATTTTACCTTCAGTTTTGCTCCTTTCACAATGTGGGCTGAAGTTTATGTTGCACAGGCAAGTGGACCGCGACTGTGATTTCCTTGAACAGGAGAGAATCATGGACTACAGTCTTTTGGTTGGAGTTCACTTTCGAGAAGTTTCAGGTTCTGGTGAACCAGTTACAACTGAGACGCGTAGTTCTGGAGTTCAGACTCCTACTGGTATGTATGTCTTTCCATAGTCATTTGTTCACGGAATACTTGATGAAGGAGAGGATTTTCATTTCTTCTCGTGTTTCAGCTAACGTAGACCAGGGTGGTGATGGATCAACTCCTCGACTTTCCAGGGCTGACATGGATCTTCTTTTTGATCCTTCAGGGTAATTCACATTTATGAGGATATCATTTGGGATTTACTTGTCAATTTTTCTGCTTTTGCTATTGTAATTAACTTGAACTGGATTTTGACTAGGCAGTCTTCTTTTTCTCCCTTGAGTGTTAGCAGGTGGGCTTCCATTAGATTGGGCATCAACATGCCAGCAAAGGCTGAATTAACAATGAGAAGAAGCGATTTCGAGGCACAACTAGTGGGAGAACCCACAGGGCAGTATTATGATGTCATCCTATTCTTTGGTATAATTGACATACTACAGAATTATGACATAAGCAAGAAGCTGGAACATGCATATAAAGCATTCCAATATGATCCAACTTCAATCTCTGCAGTTGATCCCAAGCAGTACTCGAAACGTTTTCGGGACTTCATATTAAAAGTTTTTGCAGAAGACACTTGAAAATTTCAGAAAATCATGACACAGGATTTTTCACTCCCAGCTAGTAGGCCTTCCATGTACAGTCGAAATTCGCTGAGATAACCATGCTAACCACACAGCAATGATGAGAATTATCTGGTCATGAAAGCTCGGATGCTTGGCCCTGGAACGGATCTGGCTATGCGCCCCAGCAAGACAAGCTGCCATGGCAAAAGAAGGGCACTGCACTTTCTTCTTCCTTCTATTTATACATATAGTTACAGGCATATAGTCCATAATTCAGCAGAAGGCATAGATTAGTTTTGTGAGTAAATGTCCAACCATGTAATATTTAAAGCCTGCCTGCCCCAATTGTACATGAATATAGAAGGGTGAAGCTGAGGTAGGGTGGATTTTTCTTGCAACCCAATTTTTTTGATCCAGAGTGTCAAGTCTCTGGAAATTTACTTATAGAATAAAAATGTATAGCACGCCAAAGGGAAAAAGAGGAAATTGAAATTGGGCAAAATGTTCTACTTCTCTACAACAATATTAGTAAAATCAAGAGAGACAATGAACTATTGGTTCTACGCCATCTCTCAGGATTAATGAACAATTCGTAGTACTTTTCTTGATAAACTAGTATTTATATATAGATGCAGGAGGATCTGACTGGGAAGACAGTACAAGTCTAACCATTCCATCTTCATTTTCGGCTCAGGGCCTCATACTAGCATGAGCTATGCTGGTTCTGTAGAGTAATGGAGGACGCCAATTTTGGATATAGTAGTTCAAAGGGAGTTACGTACAAGCAATATTTCCACTTTTAGCAATTGTAAGATCAAGAGCAAAAGTTTCATGGTTTGTTTTACTCTTTTTCATCTTGTTATTCTGCTTACTGACTTGAGAGAGCGAGAGAGAGTTACAGCAGAGTAAAAAAGAAATGTCTAAGAATTGAGGGGAGGGAAATAGAGAAAAATATCTGAAAAGACGGACTCGAATTATTTGTGTCTCAATAAAATGAATGTAAGAGATAATCTGTAGCACGTTTCTAAACAGAAAATGGAAGTCCTCCATTTGGACTACAAGTTGAAAGTGTATGTGTGCACGCCATATGGTAGCTATATCAAAATATGTAGTAGTGGGAGACTCGGTTGCATTAATCTTTCCTATTATATATGTGATATGTTTGCAATTTTTTTTTTTTCTTAAAGAAAAAGAATTGACTAAATCTTGCGAAGACCAAAGAAAAATTTAAAATCAGGAGTACAAATTTTGTAAGTCTTGAAGCGGAGCCTTGGTTGTCTCACTTGTCTCTGGCGTTTGTTTGAAAAACATATTGAAAACCTTCTTCGTGTTATAAAACAATAAATGAAAGAAAAGTAGAGGGACAAAATTCTTATTGATTTGGGATGAATTACAATGGAATAAAACCCTCTATTTATAGGGAGAGGGTGACTTAGCCACCAAGTAATAAACCCTAGAATCTCCCTAAATATAAACATTCACCATAAATAAAATTCTATTTATAACACTCCCCCTTGAATGTCTATTCGACAGATAATGTGTCTCGTTAAAACCTTAACTAAAATAAAACCCAATGGGAAAAAAATCTAGAAAAGGAAAAAGAGTACACATATCTAATAATACACCTTTTGGTTGTCTCGTTAAAAACCTTGCAAGGAAAACCCAGTGGGACAAAACCTTGTAAGGGAAAAAGAGTACAACGCGTATTAACTCCTCCTGATGAGAGCATCAATTCACATCCTTGAGCATTTGCATTCCAATCTTGTGCACCATCTTCAAAAGATCTTTGGTAGAGATTTGATGAACAAATCAGCCATATTAACTTGAATGGATATATTGCACCTTAAAATCATCATTCTTGATAGATATATAATGTCGTGGAATGGCTCTTCAATATCTCCATAGAGATTCTCGCTATCGTATTATCATGCTTATAATTATAGCAAGATACATATATGCACAAATTGCACTGAGGATGTGGTACTTCAAGATCAAGAATTGTATATGCTTCAAGCAACTTAAATCCTTCATGGATTGTCGAATAAGTTAAGTCATATAAGCCATATAATAGACTTTAGATGCATATCAAGTTTTCATGTCATGCTAGACATATAAGATTTTGAAAACTGATTGCACAAACCATTGACTTTATACTTTCAAGTGTTTGAACTACATGTATTTCATATGAAACCAATTCTATTTGAATTGTGTCTCTTTCATTTGGCCAATATTTTTGTGTCTGTAAGCGACAGACTTAAGATCCTCATCTATACTTAGCGCTATCATAGATGTCGTCGACAAACATTTTATATCAGTTTCAATATATTTTCATAAAGACATAACATAGAGATCTCTTCATTCATATATTCAGGTACCTAAATCTCTCATGAGATATTATGAAGTGTTATGTCATGTGATCTTCTAGATCACTTGCCTCCTTTATTATGATCATTTTGATCATTTGCTCATCTTCTTTATCAAGAAGTTTATTTGAAACCGATTTGTCTATTATGCTTTAAGCGTACTATAGACTTTGTCCTTCTAGGACTTATTCTAATAGGAGCATTTGCAATGAGAATATAGTTACTTTCTTTGGATCCGCAAATGCGTCTGGCATGCTTTGCAATAAATTGCACGTGAATTATTCTTTTATGAACTTCAAGTTCATATTATTTTATTCGGGGATCTAGATGTATAAATGATAATTCATTCCATGTAACTTTTTCTCTAACTGTTGTATCCCGTCTCCCCCTCATGTTAGAAAAACTAACTTGTTTCCTCAACTTTGAGAACCCATCTTTGTGCGTTATGGTGTTAATCAAAATATACACCGCACATCAATAATAATGAGATGGAATTATTTGGTTCCTGACCCTGAAACCACTTGTGAGGGGAGAATGTAATATACTTTCGTATATAACCTATATCAAACTGATATAGATAATTTTGTTCTCATAAGCAATAGTTTAGCTATTAAGTGGAGGCACTCAATAAATTATTTTGCTAAACCAACTGTGATGTAAACCAACTTATCAAGATAAACTATCTTGAATAGGAAATTTGGAAATTATGCTCGAAATTAAATTATTGAGCAAGTTACCTCGCACACACCGGCCAGGTTGCGGATTAATAATAATTGCACATGTAACCATCTCATAGATGCATCTTATGTGGTATACATGGCAGGTGAATGGGCCCATATTCACCTTTGATATTTCCAACATTCATGGGATTCAATCCCAATTTTAATTGGTTTATTAATTAATGAGAACAAGCAATGTAAGAGAATTTGTAAAGAACTTTCTAGTTCTTTAATATTTACCCATGTGAATTCTCTTTTATTTTTGCACATATACTTGAATTAACATGGCTAAACCAATTATGCCAACTGGATAAATTATCAATATTGATAAACTTCATGTTTACACCATGATGTGTGCAATTATGAATAAACTCCAAGTTTATTATGATATGGGTTTTTATATCAATAAATATCCACTTCATTGTGGTATTCTTTTGTTTATGTAGTACAAATTGGAGAATAAAGCGGGTAGCTTTTCACATACATATTACCCCGCTATAAGTTGCAGTAATAGAAGATATTAAATCTTTCCTTTATTTATAGTCTCAATATAATCAACCGCTTTCGCGTATACTTTGAAAACTGAATAAGTTTCTTTGAGACCTACTACAACACAATATCGTATTGGTAATTAATTGTGTTTCTCCAAAATAGTAATAATTGGCTCTTCCAGAGCTCTCAATTAATTTGGTACTACCACATATTCATCAATATCCATATGGTGAATATCTCTTTTAAAGAGAAAGTTATACCATTATGGGTATGGTCAAAATTATATACAAGATATATTTCTTGCATTAATGTTATTCTTTAATAATCACATTACCAAAATATTTTGGCGTACAATAGGTACGTGACCAATGACCATTCATGCCATAATAATGACATTATTTTCTTAATCATCTCAAACCTCCTTCTAGAGGTGACTGTGGTATATTCACTACCACTAGCACGTTCATATTCTTCCAAGAATGAATATGTATTTATAAATCAGATGTTGTCACATTCACATCATGAATGGACCATAATCATCTATATGTGCTTTATAAAATCTCATGTCAAATCAATGACAAATATTACATTCACAAAGTGAAAGATTATTTTGATAATCTTTATTATTCTCCTTATCACAATGATGACGATTATAATTTCGTCTATTGCCACGTCCACATCCATTGATACATTCATAGTAGTAATTTTGTCTTCTTTCAGACTTATCACATACTGCTATCACATTCTCTTAAGGGAATGAGAATGGAGCATATTCAATGGGACGTGTTTCCAATAGTTTGCCCACAATCATACATGAATTCATCATGGCAAGACATAAAAATTTTACCACTTCAGGTGGTTGTAATTTTTTACAAACTCCATTAGAGTTATAATCAAACTTTGTTGTCTTTCTTGTATATAAAATCAAAGTATAGAATAAAAGAGAAAAATACGGTAAAATACTTACCTTAAATCCAAAATTTAATCATGAAGGAAGTTCATGGAATAATTGACAATCATTATGCTCAATCCCAAAGCTACTACTCATTGCAAATGCTCCTAGATCTTTCCTTTATTTTGGAGAAACACAATTAATTACCAATAAGGTATTGTGTTGTAGTAAGTCTCAAAGAAACTTATTCAGTTTCCAAAGTATACGCGAAAACGGTTGATTATATTGAGACTATAAATAAAGGAAAGATTTAATATCTTATATTACTACAACTTGTAGCGGGGTAATATGTATGTGAAAAGCTACCCGCTTTATTCTCCAATTTGTACTACATAAACAAAAGAATACCACAATCATTATGCTCAATCCCAAAGCTTCTACTCAATTGGTTAGAGTCTCGTGCTGATAACGTGTTATAAAACAATAAATGAAGAACAAGAGCATTGCAGAGAAAAGTAGAGAGAGAGAGAATTCTTATTGATATTGGAGTGACTTACAATGGAATAGAACCTCTCTATTTATAGGGAGAGAGTGACTTAGCCACCAAGTAATGAACCCTAGAATCTCCCTAAATATAGACATTCACCATAAATAAAATTCTATTTATAACACTTCGAAATTTTTTCTTTTTCAAAATTTGATAACTTTTCTCAACTAAATACGTATATAACTTTAGAGTTGTTTGTTGATTTTTACAAAAGCTGAAATCTTTTTCTGCAATGGTGTTTTCTTCACTTATACAAACAAATGTTTGTAAAAGTACCATTTATTGCCTCGCCCA